CAGTAAAAGTGATTGGGTGGCTTTACAGCCACCCACATGGCTTCCACTGAATAGCTGGTGGGCCAGCTGAAAAGAAATGGTCAAAACACGCCGTGAACTTGTTTTAGACCACTTGAACTCCAGGCTGTTTATAAATGCCCTGTAGGAGGCAGGCGGTTAATCTGTTCATAATTGTGTTTAGAGGAACCTAACAGAAAAAAAGGAAAATTAAGAGCTGTTAATATCAGTTGCAATAACAAATCAACACTTTAATTTTGATATCTGGCAATGAAAGTGACAATATGGTATAGTCTTGAAACTATGAAAGAGATGGTTTAGTATATTTTCAGTGAATGCAGATTTATTTCATATATTTATACTATACTACATATTAAAACCCAGTTATGGGCTACATTTTCTTCTAATTGGGCCCCAGGCTATGTATAAAGAAAAAAAAACAGCTCTGTATGCAATACTCACCTTTAGTACTGAGCTGTGCAGTACATTAACCACAGTCTTTCATGCTAAATGACACCAAGCAGTAATCAACTTGGAAGACTGAGAACATACTGTAATTGCAGGGCATGTGTAAAATGCCCCCTAAGGGGCACCACCACAGCACCCTGCATTTATTGTGTAATGGTGCAAAGACTGGCACTAATATCATGTCAATGCTGCTCCTGTCAGTGAGGACTGCTTGGCCTAGGGAAGGGGCAAGGATGATCACATGGTTTCTTGTGACCAGCTTAAAGACTTCAGGAAGTATAAGTAAGTTTAAATTAAAATATGGCATAAAATACATACTGGAGACCTTCAGGAGAGCAAGGAGGGTGGTTGGGGGCAAAATGTGGAGTGGAGTACCTGGTGCCTCTGGATAGAGGGAAGTATGTGAACCTAGAAAGAAATGCTTTTTCTAAAGAAAACATGTCCATATATAAGCTAACCTAACACTCTGGAGTAATTTAAAGCCCATTTTACTCTTTAAACCACCAACAACACCTGATTTCACGTTCCTTTTTTTAATTCAATGCATTTTTCCATAAGGAGAAATTGCTTCCAATGTCATGAACAAAATGGTGTAGCAAAAACGTCCAATTTTACTTATCCCTATTCACCTTCCCATTACTCCTCCACTGTTCCATTTGGGGAGTTAGGGACATACGTGATACTTCCAGGTAAGGCAGTCATGACTCTTCTTCCTACATGATAGAGCTGATGATTGGTCTTGGGTGCTGGAAGTAAATCCTCAGCGCTGTGCAAGCTCAAGATTTCTTATGTCTAGATATAAAATGTTATACAGTTCAGATATAGTATGAATATGGTCTTTTGTTGAAAAAAAAATCAGATTTCTCTGTATTTTGTTAATTCTCTCCAGAGATGTCTGTGAGCTCTGCAGAATATGACCGGCACTGACAAGTGGTTTTATGGGCTTCCTCATTACAATAACTGTGACTGGATCCATGTGTAAATAGGTCCAACATGGCAACCAGTACATCCTAAAAAATTGGATGGACCAAAAGGACATAGAAAAGTGCAGAAAATAAAGTAGGGCAAAGAATTGTTAAAACAAGTGAGAAATGTAATATAAACATAAACAACAGATAATAATGTGGATTAACGTGACTATAAATCTCGTTGAGCAAGAGTTTAGTGATAGATGCGGATGGTTATTTTCCCAATCTGTTTAACAGTGCATAACATTGCCACAGTTCACCTATTTGGATGAGTCATGTAGAGCCTACAGTACACAATGTGGGAGTGATACTCTGCAGGCTTCATCTCCAGACACGTGCACATTATGGAAGGTAATGTCAATGCACAGTGGAGAAGAACCATCTTAGCGTATAATGTGCATGGTCATGACACCAACTCTGATCCTTCTGACACTATTAAGTCATAACTTCAAACTAGAATATGGTTTACTGGAACCAGTAGTAATGTACTATTGTCTTTTGAGAGAATCTGAAAACTTACAATTATATCTATATCTGTGTCTCAGATCCTTATAAAATAATGACACCCAAAAGTTGTCATTTTAATTATGGGCTCTCTGCATTGGAAGACAAGTAAGAGGTCAGGGTAGGCAGCAAACAGGAATCATACAAAATCAGGTAGAGGTCAGGGCTGTAGATTGTGTTCTGTTTAGGATTCCTTGATTTTAATGAAGAGTAACTGGATATTAAAATAAGAGTTTGGTATATTAAAAATAGGCCTATACATAAAGCCTGACTACAGGAGAAAGGAAGGAGGATAAGGAAAACAAGGGTGGTGTGTGACAGAAAGAAGTCAACTTTCTAGGCCAGCATGCTTATTCTCACTACAAAAGCCATACATGCCAACAGGGCCGCTAATAAGGGGGTAGCATTAATGCTCTTGTACAGGGCCCTGGCCAGCAGAGGAGCCTGGGTATCAGGTGGAATCAGGTGTGGGCAGGAGAGGGGGTGATTAGTGCGGTGGGGGGCAAATTCAGGAACTGATCCCCTGTGTGTCTCTCCCTGCAACAGACGAAATCCAGCCCACCCTCCCTCCGGCTTCTAGCTGCTGGAGAGAGAACCATACAGGATATTGGTTCCTTTAATTGCTCCCCCCACCACCATTGCACAGATCACCCTCTCTGTGCACCATCCTCTTCCCCCTCCCTCCAGCGCTGTTGCCTTTCCTCCTCTCCTGCCGGCTGCTGCGGGCACACAGGGCAGGGGATCTTTTCAGGATGGAAAGTGGGGAAAGAGGACAGTAAATATTACATATTTACCGACTTTTCCATTTGTGAATAAACACAATGAGTTAGACATCAGGGGTCTGCTTAGACCCCTGATATTTCACCAAAGCCCCCTCGCCCCAACAGCATTGTTAATAAATACATGCAAATAATTAAAAAAAAATAATTTTAAAAATTGTAACAAAAATTGTAATAATATTAATAAAAAAAATCAAAGTAGAACTATAGGCACAACTTGTTTTCATTTTGGATAGAGTAGGGAGGGTTATAACCCCTATCAGTTTATTTTTACCAGTGAGAGATAATCTCTGTAAATCAAGGGAATACCTTGGGGACTATCAAGGTCACCGGAACTAGTGTCCCCATTGGAAAATTTTCTCCTCTGTTACTTATCTGGGGACAACCCAAAATTTAGGGTTTTCGTTACTTTCACTTTCGATGTTAACAGTAAACAAGACAAATAGGGTGAATCTCCCTAAAGGGCACAGACTGCAATGAAAACCTGACAGGTGCTCTAATTCATCTCCACAAACCAAAACTAAAAGAAAAAAAGTTTTGCTTTAGTTATACTTTAAGGGCTCATGCACGTGGGTTCTCTGGCTCATACAGTGTGATTGAGAAGTTTGTGTGTCTGGTACCGCATGTTACTCTGAGGACCGCATGTTACTCTGAGGGCTTTACAAACACATGCATTGCCCTTCCATGTGCACCTTACTGCTAAGACTGATTATAGGTTGGGTCGGTTTCCATTTTTGTGTAGTTGGCTTTACAAACACAGCATCTGGTCCTAATTTGACAGGTGTGCAGGTGTGGGTGACTGGCCCCAAAAGCACACTGTCTGTGTTCAGGTGGTACACCTGCATCTACACGCCTGTCAAATTAGGACCTGCAGCTTTGATTGTACAGCCACACAATCCCCGTGGAGTAACATCCCTGCCTACACACAGCTCCAGCCACACTCATTCATACTGTACAGGCCACAGTGCCCATGTGAATGAACCCCAAGAACTTATTCACACACAGAGCTTTATTTATTTATTAAGGCAATACTGTTTTATCTTTTATATTTAGCAGACATTTTGTAAGTTATTTTGTGTTTATGTTCATTAATAATGATTTTAGTGTTTTTCTAGCAAAAATATAGTTTTAATCAGGAAGGCTGTAGGGAGCCCCATGATTTCAAACAGTAGCTCTGCACACTAAGGCTCTAAGACTCACCCATTTTCAAGTCTGGAGAAAATCAAAACTTTGATCCATCATTAAAATGATACTAAAGTCTTGTTTTTTTAAAAAAATAACAAACATGTCTATACTTAACTGCTCTGTGTAGTGGTTTTGCACAGAGCAGCCCCGGTCCTTTTCTTCTCGGGTCCCCTGTCGGCGCTCCTGGCCCCTCCCTACTGTCGGGTGCCCCCACAGCAACAGCATGCTGTGGGGGTGACCAAGCAGGCACACTCCCAAGCCCTGCTATGTGTGTCCATTAACGCACAAAGCCGTGGCTCACTCGCTCCTCCCTCGATTGGCTCATTGGCTGTGTAAGCCAATTGCCTCAACTAATCAGGAGTGAGAGTCCCCGGAGAACTGAGGTTCTTGTGGACATCGCTGGATCGGGATGGGACTCAGGTAAGTGTTAAGGAGGACTCGGGAGGCTGTTACACAAAGAAGATTTTTTACTTTCCTGCATATAATGCATAAAGGTAAAACAAACTCGAGCCTTTAAAACCACTTTAAGGAAGTCTTGTCCAAGTGGTCATAAAAGCCCACCATTGTCCTCTATTCCACTCATGTGAGCTCTGAAGATGATAGGCAGTCATTGAGAAAATGTAGTGTTCTTTGAATGCCCCCTGTGCCATGCAGGTAACCTTCTGTGTTCAGTAAGCAGCATGGCAGCCGCTAAGCACAGGACTCTAGAAACTAGTGTGGATCACTGTTTTAGCGATGCCTACAACAGTGATTTCCAGCTTCCATGAAGATCACACAAGTATTGCACATACTTACATACTTACAAGCTGGGCCAATGTAGCTATGTAAAAATTGTCATACCTAAACTTCAGCTTTAACTGCAGCAGGCCAAAATTGGGTATTTGACGTGCCAGACAGAGCTGTGCCATATGGCAGAGCTGTGTAAATTTTGTAACTGGATGGACACAAATACAAATTCTTTGACAGGTAAAACAGATATGTTATATGATGTTTGATCTGTGTATTTTAACTGTTTGCCTGGGGTTGAGCTGTAAGAAAAACAATAACCCCAAGTAAAAAATATAGTTGTTTAAAAACACTTTTTTTCTGTTTATGTCAGATGATGAGAGCACAGACCGAGCTTCTCCCATTCCTGAAATGACCCTTCGAGAATATCAGCTGGAAGTGGCCAGACCGGCTTTGGAAGGCGAGAATGTTATTATATGTTTGCCCACAGGAAGTGGGAAAACTAGAGTGGCTGTGTACATCACCAGGGACCATCTGGACAAGAGACGAGCAAATGGCTTGCCAGCAAAAGCTATTGTTTTAGTCAACAAGGTATTGAATTTTTGTTTTTTTATTTTTAAAACTCCCTGCCGCTGTGGTTATATTTGAAATGACTGGTTCTGCAGTTTGTCTTTCTCTTTTCAAATAAATATTCATATATATCTCGCAAATCTTTCCTGGCCTTCTGTTTTTCAGGGATACTGGGGTGAGCAGGACAGGGGTAACATAAAAAAAAAAATATATTAGTGTGAAAAAAAATAAATTATGAGCATTACTTTGAAATTGCAGCTGGATTGTAAGGGATGATAATAAAATATGCATACTTATAAAAGTTTTTTTATATTATTATATTTTTCAAAATTTTTATAAACTATGCATATTTTTCACTAATAATTTGATTTTTATATTAACCCCAGCCTGCTCACCCCAATATCTCTGAACGCTAGAGGGCTGGGAAAGATCAGCGATCATATGACTACTGTTGCACTAGACACATGATCAGAAGCTAGCCCTGACCGGGAGCTTTTCTTTGAAAGCTTGAATCTTTGTGCTGGGAGTTCACATCAGCCGCCCAGTGTTGCATATGTGCAGCATGTGGCTGTTAAAGCCCACGGTGATTGTAAAGAGAAGTTAGAGGATGAACATTATACAGTGGTTACAATCCACTAGTTGACAGGCTTAGCATGATATGTTAAAGTGTAATTCTACATTTTGCAGCTGAGTTCGGATAAGAGCATAATTATAATTGTGAATGTTTTCATTCACATAGCATACATTAAAAATTTAAATTACTGCTTACTTTTCTACTTGCTTTTTCTAAAAACTTCAAAACTGAGACCTGCAGAGCGGGCTGGGGAATTATTGTTTACCATAATTAATCCTGTCTGTAGTGTAGTGTCTGTAGTGTGCTGGCAGATCTCATTATCAGTTGTAATCTAGATTAGAGCACTTTCTGTCCTAACCACAGGGTTAAAATCTAGTGGCTGGACCTCTTGTATTACATGTTAATGAGGGGAAACTTAGTGTGCCCGTCATTGTCAATGGGAACAGTTTGAGTTTCCTCTTATTTCAAATTGAGTCTATGCAAGCCTTACTCCAAACAAATACTTAAAAAAGTAAGATTTTTAAAAAATTATTCTTAGGTAGGCCGTGTGAATGGGAACACATTACAAACATTTAGTTGGGTTTTCTCAAATTCAACTGCAAACTTGGAAATATACTTTAAGATCTCAGAGCAGTGTTGTAAGATCAGATAGCAGATTACTTAATGAATGCAGATATTGATGAGGCCTCCCTCCCACTGTAGTCTTGCAATTGACAATGCCATTGTAATTCACCAATACTAATTTACAAGCTCAACCTCAACAGGTTTAAAGTTTGATCTGGACCTATTGGGGTTGGATGTCAAAGGTTCAAATGTTTGCTTGTCCTTGTATTATTGATATTCTACATGCAGAATGATGAGAGAAAAGTTGCAAGGAGAACGTATTAAAAAGAGAGAAAAAGAATGGATGAGAAAAGAGAAAGGGAAGAGGAGTGAGTGAACTAGAGAGAAGAAAAGAATGAAGCAAGGAGTGAAGGGAGTGAAAATACATAGAGTAGTCCCTATATGACACCCCAGGCCCCAGCCAACATATTAGCGGTTGCCCAAGATATAAGCAATCCTGGTTAGTGTTTATTTGGTCACATTCAGGTCTTTAACCAAAACCAGTCATGCACATACTGTATGTAACCTTCAGAGCCAGACTCCCCAAGGTAAGAGCTTTTGCATACACCTCTGTTGCATTGCATGTTGTTGCTGATGGGTCTACATTGAATAAAGCAAGGATTGCACTAAAGGATAGCAAGGCTTCAGTGGTGGATGAAGGAATACAATGGTGTCATCACCTTCTTTTGACCTCCAGTGAAGCCTACCCAATATGTACACATTTTGTGATTCTTACTTTCTGCAATGCAGCCTTACCTGACAGCTGCCAAGCAATGCTGCGCCAAACATGCCTACTGAATGTAATAACTAGAGAGTGATCAGGTATCCAAAACAGGTATTTTAATGGGAGTGCTTACAGAAATCATGAACTACACAACAAAGAAAAAGGTTTTACAGGAAGGTATTACTGCTGCCTGATTGACTGACTTTTTTTTTTAGCAACAAACAGCACAGGGCTTAGGCCTGATTTTGAAAGTCTATATATGGTACTGCCTGACATGATTAGTGTGCCCTCTGGTGGCTACCGATCTGCATATAAAATATAATCTTTTAAAATATGACATAATAAAATTTGTGTTTAAAGATTGTGCAGCATAATTCAATTCAACATAAATGTAAAAATTCAATGCACAACCCCTTAGAATGATTCTCTTTACTGTTTTATATTATTCAGGTTCCATTGGTTGAGCAGCATTTCCTAAGCGAGTTTCAGCCATACCTAAAAGATTCCTATAGTGTCACCAAAATTAGTGGAGATTCCCAGCTAAAGATTTCCTTCCCTCAAGTGGTGAAAGCGAATGCTGTCATCATATGCACAGCTCAGATACTGGAAAACTCACTGATGCAGGCAGCTGAAAATAAAGAAGAAGGGGTCCGCTTGTCTGGTACGTAAAAAAATGTTGTACTGAAAATCAATTGTGCGTCACTTCCACTGGGAGTGTTCCACATGTGTATGCCACCAAAGGCAGATTTTTTTGCTGGTTACCTGTACTTGAAGCTATGCCTTGCACCTGAATTAAAATCCAGTCCCTCGCCAGTACATCCAATTTATGTGACCAAGCAATTGAACAGGTGTACCTAATAAAGTGGCCGGTGACTGTACAGTATATGTGAACCATTGCCTCATATGACCATAAACACGTGGTTGACCAATATCTATAGGTACCTTTTACAATCCTTTGCCAGATTAATTATAAGAAAAAGAAGAATAGAGCAAAAATTGAAATTTATAGGTATAGTTGCAGTCATTCTATGTGGTTTATGTTTCCAGATTTCTCCCTGCTTATTATTGATGAATGCCACCACACTATCAAGGATGCTGTGTACAATAACATTATGCTACGCTATATAAAGCAGAAAAATAGGAATGAGAAAATTCGCAAGACAGAAGGCTCCACAGAAGTGGTTCCTCTTCCTCAGGTTTTAGGGCTGACAGCTTCACCAGGAGTTGGGGGAGCCAAAGACAGTAAAAAGGCTGAAGAGCATATTTTAAGGGTATGTGTTCTTTTCTGTCATTTACCTGAGACTTGCTATTAGTATGTATTTGTATATGTTTGTCTCTATAAGAATTTCCTTAACAATATTGAGAAGAATTAAGGGTTGAGAAGAAAGTGTGATTTTCCCAATACAGGAATTTTCCACTTAATGGGGGAAAACTGCTGCAGGTATGAAGAGCAGGCATCTAGCAGTACATGTACATACCTGCAGCAGCCTTCCAAATCCTCCTCTCATGGTTGTTCTAACAGGAGGAATTCAGACTTAAAAAAGGTTATGGACCTGCATAAAGCCTGACTTTGCATTCCAATGGGCCTCATAGAGACAGAAACCAATTTGAAGAACACAGGTACAAAATGTTGCTTGTGCTATTAGCATCAACCAGTCTTTCTCAAACTTTTTAACATGGAGAAATGAACCTCTGAAATAACTTCCTGGGCTCAAGTAATCCTTTCTAATAATTACTAAATCTACATCTCACAGCACATTAGTGTGATGGCCACTGAGACAAAAATGTTTATTCTCTACATTTGAGGTCATTGGTACCCCCTTACAGGTAGCCAAAAAGATATTTCTTTTCAATGGTTACTCATCTGAGAAGCAGAAGTTTCTCATTTGCTGAAGGAACCCCTAGCAGCTTCTGGAGGAACCTTGGTTGAGAAAAGTTGGCTTAGAAAATGTTAAAGTGGTTCTAAAGGCTGAAGCATTTTTTTGTTATTAAAAAACTTTCTGGTGCAGCTCTCACCCAACCCCCTCTTATACTTACCTGAGCCCCATCATGATCTAGTGATGTGCATGAGAGCAGTGGCTCTCTTGGGTCTCTCGCTCCTCAGTGGCTCACACAGCAGCTGGAGCCATTGGCTCCTGCTGCTGTCAATCAAAGCCAGTGAGGAGAGAGTGTGGGAGGCGGGGCTGAGCCATTCTCTGTGTGTGAATGGACACACAGAACACAGCTTGGGTGCGAGCCATAGCAAGAGGCTTGCTCTTGGGGGCACTCAGCAGGGCAGGAGAAGGACCGCCGACAGGGGACCCAAAAAGGATTGGGGCTGCTCTATGCAAAACCACTGCATAGAGCAGGTAAGTATAACATGTTTGTTATTAAAAAAAAATGATTTCCATTAGAATCACTTTAAGAACAGAAAATAAATGTATTATATTGTTTTCTGCATTCATTTTCTTTTTCTTTCTTTTTATTCTTTCTTTTTACCTTCTGATCGTGCCAGTATCATAATTCTAGTTGGGTTTATTACTAAAGACAAATGGGGGCATCAAGTGGTGAAGAATTACATGCCTAACATCCATAGAGAGCAATAACAAACCTCACAAACCAATAGATTAAAATGTATCTGCAATACAATAGTGCAATGCAAATATACCAAACTCTTATGTGTCACCACAAATTGAAAAAATAAAGGAATCCAAATGTGAAGCCAAACACTATGAATTCAGTGGTTCTTTGATAATGAGGGAAATGACAGATGTGGATACCAAACGCCACCAAACTTCTTCATGAGGAATAACACAGCACCTTGGTGTACAACAAAGGGAAGCTTACTAGAATCATATGACCCCCAATTAAGAGTGGTTAACCAGCACTTGTGTATCAATCCAAGATATCCAGCTATCCTCAAAACCACATGTCAAACGATGGTACTGCTATGTTATATCAGATCACCGCATATATACTCAGTTGGACATAGTATTGTGAAAAAGACAGGCTCTCCATAGTGTAATCCAGATCAAAACACCAATTTAATGTGGTAAATGCACTTACAATGAAAAGATGAAAATCAGGCACTTCATATCATATAAACAACTCATGTTACAGAATCCGAGATGGCTGCAGTGGGATCACGTATGCGTAGTATTGTGTGTTCTATCTCTGCCCTACACACGCTACTACGCTGGCTGACCACTCTTATTGGAGGTCATATGATTCTGGTAAGCCTCCCTTTGTTGTATACCGAGGTGCTGTGAGGTTCATCATTAAGAAGTTTTAGTGGCGTTTGGTATCCACATCTGTCATTTCCCTCATAATTAAAAAACCATTGAATTTACAGTTTTTGTCTTCACATTTGGATTCCTTTATTTTTTCAATTTGTGGTGACACATAAGAGTTTCATATATTTGCATTGCACTATTGTATTAAACATGCATTTTAATTTATCTTCATGCTGCACTGTTGTTTTTTGATGTTTACTATACTACGTATTATGGTATTGTGCTAGCTGCTATGATTTTTGACATCCAACAGCGTCCTAGCGCATCTTTTTTTTCGTTCTCATCAATAAAACCTGACAGAGGTTCTACTTGTTCTGTATCCTTCTTCTCTTAACCTGATAAATAAAGCAAAACGATTATCTGTTTTTTTTTAGATATGTGCTAACCTTGACTCCAGGATCATGACTGTTAAAGAAAACACACAGCAACTCCAGAGACAAGTTAAACTTCCATTTAAGAAAGTAGATATTGCTGAAGATAAAAAGAAGGTAGTAAAGTTTTTATTTCTTACTGAAACTGAATCTAGAATTTCTATCAGAGCTATAATGCTGCAATATAATGTTTGTGGTATGTACTGAGCATGTTTGATACAACTATGTTTGGATGTATATCTGTCTATTAAATTGTGGAAAAATACATAAAAGATGAGTTACCTATTTTTAATCCACTCCAGTCTGGTCACGTGATCCCTTCAGGTCTGGCTACCTTTTTCAATGAATGGCTGCTGCAGGGGAGAGTGACATCACAGCTCCCAGAATTTCCAGCTGTTGCTGAGTGCTCTGTGAGTCAGACCTGTAGGATCATGTGACTGGATCAGAACGGATTGAAAATAGGTAAGTATACAGATCTTTTTTTATAAAGGTTGGGCAGGATAGATGGAAGGAGGGGGGAGGGAGTTGGTCCTTTGTGGGAAGCTTGTCAACTGGTCAGATCTGATTTTCTTTAATGATTGCTATTTCCTAGAAATAAAGCAAACAGCAGGAATGCATACTTGTTTAGCCCTAGTGAATAAACATGTATGCTCGGGTGACCTAAACATGCATGTTCCTCTAAAGAACACTTGAATAAAATGATCTTTGGTGGTTGAATTGTGTTCCCATATCCAAGGTTCTAGAAAGATAATATCTAAGGTATGTAGTATGGCTAGCTGGAGTCCATGAGAAAAATCTCCTTTTTGGAGTCCTCTCTTCTCCTTCCTGCCCATGTTCTCGTAATTACTTTTCACAGCTTTTGGGTGAGCCAGGTCCCCTTTCTTCAAAGCTTATGGAGGACTTAGGAGGAAGAGCCCAAAAATACAAGACCACTCAACAACTTAATGAGAAAATACTGTGGTAGGAGTGCAAGTATTGTCAGTGTCTTTAATGTTTTTTACACTGACATTCATTTTACAGAATCCTTTTGGAGATAAACTCAAAAGGATGATGGTGAAGATTGAAAATTTGGGAGATTTATCTTCAACATCTGAACATGGAACACAGTCTTATGAACAATGGGTAATTCAGAAAGAAAAATCAGGTAACCTTAATATAGTAATAATAACAACAGCAACATATATAATAATTCATATCTGTAACACGGCTGTTATGATGCTCTGTTACGTAAAGCGGTTGTAAACCTCAGACATGAAATATGAACAAAGCATATCCCTTTATAGTGTCTCAGGAACAGGCTTCAGGAGCTCTTGCCACCAGCCATGCACCAGTGATCCAACTGCCTATGTATGCAGAGAGGCGGCAGGCGGAGCACAGTTGAGATCACTTTGCAGCCAGAACTAGAGGAGCAAGATCAGCAAATGTGGCTGCCGGCTCCAGCTGGCTTCTATTTAAATATAATTCCAACTGTCTCCTAACTCTGCCTGGATAAGTGGCTGCTGGTGATGCATCAAGCTGTTAAAGAGTTCTTTTTTACATTTGCCGAGCCAACGCTAACCTGCCTGAAAAAAGGACTGATTTTTTACTGGCATAAAATTTCTCTAACAGACACTTACTGACAGCTGTAAAAATAACTGATTTTTACAAACTCTCAGTAAAATTACTGATGGTTGGCAACCCTGCCTGTCACATACTGTAGTTCCATCCTCCAACCCTTACATCACTGCTGAGTCCTGTAAGGGTCGAAGGATGAAACCATAGTGCACAGCGAGGGATGCAGACTTCCAGCACTCTCTGAAGTGTCAAATGCCAAAGACACTAACAGAGGTTACAGCACTGGAAGGAAGGAGAAAGGACTGACTCATGTACCATACAATAGGTGCATATAACTGCTCTTCTCTTGCAGGGTACTGGCATCTGGATTTGTATTTATTAAGCTGAAAGGGTCACTTTAAGGCAGACTGAGACTTAACCACTTCCCGACCGGCCGTTGTATATAAACGGCCGGATGGTGGCAGTGCAGGGTCGGGTGGCCGTTTATAAATGGCCTCCCCGCACCCTGCTTGTGCGCGCTCCCTGGGAGCGTGCAGCACCGCGATCCAGTGCCCGATGTGTCCTCCGGACACAGTGAAACACCGATCGTCGGACGGGACCTCTGTACGAGGTACCAATCATGTGATCACTGATTGGCCAATCAGTGATCACATGCAAAATAGCAAGCAAGATGTCACTTGTGACATCATTGCTTACTACGTGTGAATTCTGTGAATGATCACAGAGGTCACATGGTACAAGGCTATTCACAACAGCCTTGTACCATGTGACAAGCTGTGACCAATCACAGCTCACTCTGTATTTCTCAATGACTGCAAGAATGCAGACAGAGAGAAAGAGAAATGATTTCTTTTCCATCCTATATGGGTGTAACAGCAATCAGTGTAAAAAAAAAAAATCTTCATCACCCCCCCACAAGTAGTAGTGTACTGCTAGGGTGACAGTATGTAGAAAAAAAAAAATAATATAAAAAAAATAAAATAAAAATGTAAAAAAATATTTTAAAATTTTAATTTTTGGTTATAAACTAATTTGTTTTTTTTTTTTTAACTAAAAAGTTAACGGAATAAATTTTGGCCAAGATTTATGATGAAATATTATTTATTTGCAAAATTTAAAAAAAAAAAACACACTTTTTTTTGAAAATTTTTGGACTTTATCATTTACATAGCAAAAAAAATAAAAATCACAGCAGTGAGTAAATACCACCAAAATAAAGCTTTATCTGTCTCAAAAAAATGGTAAAAAATTCATTTGGGTACAGTGTGGCATGACCGCGCAATTGTCATTCAAAATGTGATAGCGCTGAAAGCTGAAAATTGCCTGGTCAGGAAGGGGGTAAAAGTGTCCGGTCTGGAAGTGGTTAATGACTTAAAGTGTTACTAAACCCACAACAGTAAAATCAGTCTGTATATGCAGTAAAGCATGCTTGTTATACTCACTGTGGAGCCTACGGGGTTAATCCTACGCATTGTGTAAAAAGGTTCTTTGATCCTGACTTCTCTAATCTTCCCATTTTTCTATTGTCCCCAATCCATCTCCTGAGAGTACAGAGCCCTAGGAAATACTCTGCACACGCTCTGTTTGATGTGTATAGCTAGAGTATTTTTTTTGTTTTGGGGGGTAGGGTGCATGTAATCGGCCCAAGGCCAATCAGCACTGTCCAGACAGAGATTCAGGGGTCATACAGCTTCATAAGACATAGGGGAATGAAAATGTCTCCTAAAAGATTAACCAGTGCTTGGCTGGACACTGATAGAAGACACAAGACTTCTCTAAGTGCTTATGAGAAAAAGGTATTTAGCAGTTTATATTTACTATAATAATTGCATTTCCATGTGTGTATCTGTACCAGATATAATGTATTCAGGGTCCTGGGTTTAGTAAAACTTTAAGTTGAATGAATGAATTTAGGATGAACTGAATGAATTTAGTTTGAAAGCAAATAAATATCAGCTTTCATTCTACATTTCTCAGATCAGTGGAGAGTTCATTTTATTTGACGGCCTGTGCTTCTGCACTTGTCATTTATCATCATTGCCCTTGTTGAATAAACCGACAAATATAACAAACATAACTTGTTTTTTCCTGTTAATGTTGTCTTTAGCCGCCAAAGAAGGCAATCGCAAACAACGTGTGTGTGCTGAGCATTTGAAGAAGTATAATGATGCTCTGCAGATCAGTGACACCATCCGCATGAAGGATGCACTAAGTCATCTGGAGAAGTTCTACGATGACGAAAAGAAGAAGATCTGGCTCCTGCACGAGAACGATGGTGAAGGAATGTCTAAAAAGATCGACAAGACCGATGAATATCTCCTTGATTTATTTTACAGTAAGCATATTATTCTTTACTGCACATTGCCTACTATGTACAATACATGCATCAGGAATTATTCTCAGTCACATACAGTACAAAGGAAGAAGTCATCATATGGGTCAAGCTTATCAATTGATTAAAGTAAATTTTTTTTTTTAATAACCAACAATGGTTTTGCACAGAACAGCCCCCACACCTTCTTTTTTGGGTTCCCCTCTCGACACTTCTGACTCCTCTTCTTCTCCATGTGCCACCATAGGAAGCTTCTTCCTATGGTGGCACACATGTGTGCTCAATCACGAGCTGTACTCTGTCTGTCTATTGACACACAGAGTACGGCTCTGCCCGGCCTTCTGTTCCCTCAACACTGGATCTGATTGACAATAGCTCCTGCTGCTCTAGCTAAAGTAATAACATGTAAAACACACTATAAACGGTGCTCCTCTAAAGTGTGCAATGAACATTTAGTGCATATAGAAGCAAAAGTCTATGTTGAAAAGCAACTGAGAAACCAATGAATGGATGCTCAATGCTCTTAACAATGGGGGAGCAGCATTATTGGGGACATCCAAGGCACAACACACCAGACAGCATAAGATGGAAAATCATCTTCTCCAGATGACTTAGTGCATCCTACATGTGGATGGAGTTTCTGATCTGCAGAGCATCGTTATATTTCTTCAAATGCTCGGCACACACAAGTTGTTGCGATTGTCTTCTTTGGTAGCTATAGACAACATTAACAAAGAATTATTTATATTAGACACTATCAGCAGGGTAAATTAGCCACTTCTAGTACTGGCCTACATGCAGTATATACAAACATATAATATATTACAGTCCACAGTCCTTAGATGTGATGTCTGCATTATTTCTCTTTTCAGGCCTTTTCCCCCTGTATTTTTACCCAAAGACCCTGCCAGCAACACACCTCCTGTTCACTTAGTGTACTGTATCTATGGAGCATTGGGGCAGCTAGGGCAGGACTACAGAACACCTGCCCCTGTCCTTTTCTTAATAGTCATGCAGTTGTTGCATTAGTTTTCTTTTTTTAGGCTTATTTTCCTTTATTTTCACATGATGGCACATATCCTGTATAGGGTGACAATGTTCACTCAATACAATGGTGTTGATTTAATTAAACTGAATAGAACAAAATCTGGTGCAGCTCTGCATAGAAACCAATTAGCTTCCAGGTTTTATTGTCAAAGCCTAAATGAACAAACTGAAATTAGAAACGAATTGGCTACCAAGCACTGCTGCACCAGATTTTGCACTTTCCAGTTTTTAGTAAATAAAATTGTATCTATGAAGAAACTAAAAGGAAAGAACAGTGAGCGCTGGTCCTAAACAGCAGCTGAGCACTCTAAGCAACCGATATATACTTAAACAGAATAACATAAAAAAAACAGTGCAACGCTGAAGATAGTAATAATAAAACAGAAATAAGTCCACTGCAAGTCCAGTTCATAGAAACATGTCAGGTGACAAGTGGAAATTCAATGTTGGTGATCAGTGAGGAAGTGGCTGAAAAACGCACTCACCAGAAAGAATATATATATAAGCAGTATATATCAAAAGCCCATGGATCCTCAATCCAGAAGGAACAAAGCTGGTCTGGTCACAGAAAGTGGGTCCCTCCTTTCAGGATGCAGCAAAAGATCTTCCTCCTCCCAGTTTGGTATTGGATTCCAAAGTCAGGGTTCTGCAAACAAAGTGCTCTTCCAGGTTGAATGTGCTGCAGCCCTTCAGGAACTCCCCGATGTTTCCCAGACACTCGGCCTCTGTGCGCGGCTCCGAGTACACCTGATATAAACTATATATGGCAGGACTACAAATATTCATGTCATAGAGGGGAGAGTATCTGTAATAGCAAGGAGAGTTGGAAACATTGTAATAGTCAACACAGACAGAAAGCACACTCATATGGAAGAAAAATATATTTGTAATATATTTTTTTAAAATATTCTTCCCAAATATATTGACATATATTTGAAATTCTACAATTTTGGCCATATTCTATATATTTAAAAATATTTTTCAATAAGTAAATATATATATAATTTATTTCAGGTACTTGTATAGCACCGTCAATGTACGCAGCACTACATATATATTGTACATTAACATCAGTCCCTAACCCTCAAGGGGTGTACAATCTAAGGTCCCTAACTTACATTCATACATACTAGGGACAATTTAGACAGGAGCCAATTAACCTAGCAGCATATCTTTGGAGTGTGGGAGGAAACTGGAGCACCCGGAGGAAACCCATGCAGGCACAGGGAGAACAAACTCCAGGCAGGAGGTGCTGTGGCTGGGATTCGAACCAATGACCCTAGTGCTGCCAGGCGGAAGTGCTAACCATTTAGCCACTGTGCTGCTATATATACAATGCTGCTACATATAATACAAAGCTACATTTTTGGAATGCATTTACAAATATATGTAGAAATATATGTTAAAAATGACTTTTTTATATGTTATAAAAAATCTGAAGAATATATTAAACAAAAATATATTTTTAAAAATATATATATTTTAAATACATTCAGATTTTTTTAAACATATAAAATCCAGACCAGGCCCGAAGGGCTTGGCTTGCATACTAAATATAAATTAGTTTATATTTGTCGGCAATTCTATTTTTTACATTGAGCTGTCAGTCAGGAACCCATTGACAGCTGATACATTACTGCATCTTTTCACTACTAAGATACCGCAGGAGTTAATAAAATAACCCATGCAGTATTATAGTAGCACTTTTTAGTGAATGCCAAAATGTTTTTTTTTTAAATGCTATGTGGTATCTTACCGCATACTTGGATGCGGTAAGATACCATTTAGTGAATTATCCTGCATTGAGGGACACGCAGCCACATGGATCTCAGATTGGAAGAAGCAGCTATGTCCATGCAGCCAATGCATCCCAATTGACAAGAATAGGACTGCTTGAATGTGGATTAACAGAATAATTGTGCATCCTGTGTGGTCAAGCGTGGCCCTGACACGAGGTTACGCTTACGTACGCCCCTGTGGGTGAGGCCTAATTTAATGTTTTTAATAGTATGTTCAAAAGCCCAAGAGGCAGCAGATAAGAGATATTCAGTGGCTGACTCATAGAGTAGAAATGGAAAAAGTAAAGCCATTCTGCAGCTCTGAAAGGTAGAAAGAAGAGCCGTTATATGTAATAAACAAGTATGGTTGCCCCATGTACAGTTTTAATTACATATTATACATGTAAACAAACAGTTTGGAAATATGAACCCTTATTGAAAAGATGATTTACTTATACTTATTTTTTTAGAACAACATGAAAGGCTATACTTGTAGTCTTCAGCGCTATATAATTCTACAGAGTAATGCAATATAATTTATTTTTAATATTATTTTAACTATGGTAATATCATTTATTCACTTGTTATGTTTTTAGGTGAAAAGAATAAACTGAGTAGTCTAGCTGCAAATGAAAAGTATGAAAATGAGAAACTTGCTAAACTCAGGAGAGCAATAATGGAGGAATTCACCAAGAATGTCAAAGCCAGAGGGATCGTATTCACAAAGACACGTCAAAGTGCTGATGCATTGTGTCAATGGATTAGTGACAATGAAAAATTCAAGGAAGTGGGTATCCATGCACATTACCTGATTGGAGCAGGGAGCAACAGTGATTTCACATCTATGACGCAGGTATGGTCTGCCAAGCTGTACAAATGTTAAAATATGGTAAATAATACTGAGACGCTTATGAGCCATATTGAAGTGTAAAATGTAGGACTAAGAAAGATTAAAGTGTATGTTAACCCTAGCAATGAACTTCTCTTATGTACACTCTTTGGTCTGTTGAAGTTGAAGTTTAGTATACTTTTATGGGGTATACAGCACCATACTTATTAGTTATCTAATGGTGTGTATCCCAAGTGCCTGCTTCTACTACAGATCTTCATCTATGTGCCTCCTTACAGCCAGCAGATACTATCCACATTGGCTGTCCTCCTGTGTTTTAAAATGTAAACTGCAGCCTTGACTAAACAAAAAAGTTGTGCCACACTATGTAAATGGGAAAAAGAGATCGCCCATTTACAGAACATGGTGCATTTTGGGATTCTAGCAAAGACAAGTTTTATGAGTGGCGGTAATGTGCTACATACATTTATACATTTATACATGCTGTATACCAAAAAATTATACTAAAGTATAATTCCAGGCATAGTATATTTTTACAAAGCATTGTTTAAAAGTAACTATGCATATATCATAGTCCCTGGAAGCCTCCGGAAGATGGAAATCACTGTAGTAGACGCTGCCACTTTAGTGACCTGCACTTGCTTATAGGTCCCATACTGGCTGCCTTGCTGAATTTTGATCACAAGAGATCGGCTGCTCAGTAGAGGTGCCATTCAGAGAATGATTTTCAAAGTACAAACTATAGAGTTCTATGTTTGTTTGTTTTTCATGTCTGAGGTTTACAGCCACTTTACTCTGCATAGTTGTTTGAGATAAGTACCATGTGTACTTGTGATTTTTGAATGAATACAAAGTGTTCTCTGATTGCGCAAGGTGGTGAGGTGTAGCAATGATGTCAAGCTCTCCATCCCATCCAATCAGAGAACGCTTTGCATTAATTCAGAGCATGCAAAGATTTGCTTTCTATTCCTTATGTGGGTCATTGGGATCGAGACTTGGCAATTTCAATTGACGTGGAGAGCTGGAGTGAAGCCACTTGTAAGGTTCTCTTCCGGTGGTATTGGGTCCTGGCCTTTATAGCTTTCATGAACCCGACTTATGACAGATATTTCTGAGGTTGTGGGCACCATGGTAATGTCCTCCACATATGGTGGTTCTACCCTAAATTGATGGTATTCTGGTTTAGAACCTTTGGCTTATTGCACAGCTTGTTTGACTTGAACATTCCTAGGGATGCCAGGATAGCCTTCCTCCATTGCCCAACCCAAGGTCTCTTCCCACTCCAACAGAAATTGGCTATGTATGTTCATTTGATCGCCAAGCAAATAATAGCCAAGGCCTGGAGGAAACCCTCTGTCCTCTTCCCCTTTCAAGTACCCCATTAATCTGCTGCTAGTCAATGAAACATTATCTAGCATACTTAATGAGTTTCAACCAAAATTTCTTAAAATCTGGAAGCTGTGTATTAACTATGCTCTCTGCCATCTTTAAATACCTCCAGCCTGACTTCCCTTTAGTCTATTACATCGGCCTGGATCCAAGTCTGTGGGGAACATACTTTTGCATTTTTTCCTCTTCTGCCTTTCCTTCTGCCTGTCTTTCTCTTTTTTCTACTTGGTTATTGCCAACTCTTGGGGTTTCTGACCCAGTTGACTCCCAAGGCAGTTTATGTAGCCTTGCAATTTTACTGCAGCCTGGCTAGCCTAAAGTCACCTACTGTGTATGCTGATGGTATAATGTATATGATTAATTACTTTTATGATGCTTTGACCCCTGCATGGGCATGCTTGTTGTTATTCCTCCCCATAATTCAATAAAAAACATTAAACTAGAAAAGCAAAGCATTCTCTGAATGGCACCCATGCCAAATCACCCTCACAATGCAGCCATCCACTTGCCATGGGACACGGAAGTAAGTGGAGGTCACTGTGTGAAATATACATACCTGAAAGTCGTTTTAAAGATATACCATTGAAAGCAATATGTTATATCTGTTAATTTGGTGCAAATATTATCGATCCTGCCAAAATCCAGTGAGTTGATAACTTACTATGTCTGTGCCTCTGCTGCAGTGTTATCAGTTGGCAGTGTGGACTACAGAACACTTCTTCCCTATGTTATGGGAGATCTTTAAAGATGGCTGAAAAAATTAGGATGACAGACTATGCAGGTTTTATAAAAATGTCACATTTACTGTATCTCATTTTAGAATGAACAAAAGAAAGTGATCAATAAATTTAGCACTGGAGAACTAAACCTACTTATCGCGACTAGTGTGGCTGAAGAAGGTCTCGATATCCCAGAGTGCAACATTGTGATCATGTACGGTCGGATAACCAATGAAATTGCTATGATGCAGGTATGTTCATTTACAGTGTGTCCATATACGGTATGTGCCATTTATTACTAAACTCTGCTTGATTGGTTGACAAGTGGGCAGTCTGGTCTCATGTTGGCTTTTATTTTATATGCACCACACCTGTCCCCTTGTCTGCATCTTCAAGACACAGGGGTTGATTTACTAAAACTAGAGAGTGAAAAATCTGGTGCAGCTGTGCATGGTAGCCAATCAGCTTCTATCTTCAGCTTGTTCAATTAAACTTTGCCAAAAAAATGGATGCTGATTGGTTTCAGTGCACAGCTGCACCAGATTTTGGGCTCTCCAGTTTTAGTAAATCAACCCCAAGGTCTGGAATCACTAACAGAATTGGCACTGCCAGCAGCTTTAAACACCAAGCCTGAGTCGCAGGGTGCATCACCCATCTTACAGGGGCACACTTCCTCTCTAGTAATGTACCACACAGCCACCCACAGATGGTTGCAAACTCATATGCATACATTTTTTTTTGGCATGGCAACATTGCAGGATCTGTTGAAAATGGGTAGAGCAACAACCTGAACTTAACTTTAGCTGCCTATGTCAGTAAAGATAATGAAGAATTGTGATTTTTCTTACCACAAGCTTGAACTACCCATGTATAGCTACCCATTCAACTGCTGAAAGCTGATTTCTGATTGGTAGATTGATTTGAATTGCTTGACGGTAGCTTTTTGCAAAGTGCTTTTAAAGAGACTCCTTCTCTTTGCTGATATGGGTAAAAGTAAAGAGCCTTTTCAAAGCCCATCTCCTGGCCCACTTTGCCATATCATCCTCCCCACCTCTCCTTGCAAAATACCAGCTGTTTGCTTTCAGCAGTGGGTGAAAGGGACCAGGATTTACAATCTCAACTCATGTTGGAATGGCAGGGGAGTGCGGAAAGGATGTGAACAATTGGTTCAGGGATGGAAAATCTTAAGCTGGCCATACACTAGTAGAATTTCATTAGAAAATGTTCTAATCATTAGCAGGATCAAATTGATGTGCATTTTTGATTGCAGTGATGAGAAACGAAAGAACACATTTCTGACAGTGAAATTAACAGTGGCTTTCATTTAGGAAAGTCCATTTGTTCCTAAATTTATTGGTCAAAGTAAACAAAAATTTGAAGGACTTTCGGACAACATTCATTATTAAGTCATCGAATGTACTAATCAGAATTTTCGTAGAGTGTTCGTATGGACGCTCTTTCTCTACTAGTGTTTGGTTAGCGGTAGTCTTTTTAAAGAGATGCAGAATTGTTTTTTTTTTACAATTGTATCATGCTGTGGCTTTTTCTTTGCTTTATCACCATTAGGCTCGTGGACGAGCCAGAGCAGCGGACAGCAAGCTTGTACTGGTTGCTTCCAATTCGTCGGGAGCTGCTGAACATGACATCGTCAATGTATACAGAGAAGACATGATGTACAAAGCCATCCAGAAAGTACAGCAGATGTCCCATGAAGTGTTTGAAAAAAAAGTAATTTACCCACTTTTCTGTTTTTCTTTACTACACATACAGGCTGATTTATTGACAGAAGCCCGGGCTGAGAGAAATAAGGTTTCCGTTACTTCATGCCACTTTTCAGGGTTATCATCCTGATCCTATCTACACTTCATACCTGGGACACGTCTAAAGAATTCCTGTCCTCCATGTCTGTAGCAGGTCAGGGAGAAGGTACTGAAGCCAGGATCTGGATGATAGCAGAGCCGGGACCTTTAAGAGCAATGGTGGCTTCTTTATTTCCATCCTCACAGGTTATCTCGGGCAGCACAGTGGTTAAAAAGTTAGCACTTCCGCCAAGGTTGTTGGTTTGAATCCCAACCACAGCACAACCTGCCTGGAGTTTGTATGTTCTCCCTTTTTCTGTTTGGATTTCCTTTGGGTACTCCAGTTTCCTCCCACACTCCAAAGACATGCTGGTAGGTTAATTGAATCCTGTCTAAATTGGCCCTAGTATATATGAATGTGTGTTAGGGACTTTAGATTGTACGCCCCTTGAGGGCAGGGACTGGTGTGAATGTACAATATATATGTAAAGTGCTGTGTAAATTGACGATGCTATGTAAGTACCTGTAATAAGTAAAATAAATAAATCTTTACATTTCCCAGAGGGGTGTACATTGTTTTATAACTGATGAGCCATAGTTTTATATAAAATAGGGTTTAAATGCCATTTGACTGGAATGCCATTTTTTTTTACACAGATTCAGGAACTCCAGTGCCAAAATATTGTTGAGAAGAGAGTGAAGAAAATGAAAAATATGCGTAAAGTGTACCAGCAGAACCCCCACATGGTGACCTTCCTATGCAGAAAATGCCAGAAGCTCGTCTTTTCCGGTGGTGATATCCGTGTGATAGAAAACATGCATCATGTTATACCTGAATCAAAATTTAAGTACGTGTCAGAAGTTTCCTGGTATTGTTGCAGACAGTTGGAGTTTTTGTGTAGCACACAGCTTGGTCCTGCAATTTTCATCCTAGGTTCTGATTCCTTTGTGGAGCAAGCAGCCAGGAACAGGGTATTTTCAGCCAGATGCACAAACTCTCACCCAGTTATCAGACAGTAATCAGGCAGATGTTGTTTTATTTGTTTTGTATAACTGGGATAGGGATTGGGAAAAGCTTTGGGGTGCACAGAACTAAATAACTTGAATGAGGACACTATCTTGAAGCAGTTAACTGAAGTAATACAGACTTCTCTGTACAAAAAGGTAGCACACAGCTTTTGGCACAGGGGTCTCCTCTCAGGAACAACGTTGGCAGAAGGTTTGGAATGGTCCCTCTATCAAGAATGGGTGTACAGGCAACAATCTCTCTCCTGAGAATTCTTTAAGGCCTGCTCATTGTGATCCAGGTAATCTGAAGGCCTCCTCTCAGCTTCAGTTTGACTCTGGCATGAAAGATCCCCTCTGGGTGTTGCCTTGGGTGTTCCTGTGACTTTAGGGGCGATCATATGGCTCCTTGGTGAGTGAGAGTCATCCAGGACTTGTTAAAGTGATAGTAAAGACTTTTTTCTTTAAAATGATGTTATACTTATCTGCTCTATGAAGTAGTACAGAGCAGCCCTGATCCTCCTCTTCTCAGGTCCCCCGCTGACACTCCTTGCCCCTCCCTCCTGCCAAGTGCCTCCACAGCAAGCAGCTTGCTATGGGGGCACCCATGCAGGCTCACTCCTGAGCCACTGCTCTGTGTGTCCATTCACACACAGTATCCCCTAATACTTACCTGAGCCCCATCATGATGCAGTGGTGTGCACAAGAACCTTGACTGTCCCAGTATTCTTCCATCTCATTGGCTGAGCTATTGGCTCTCTCTACTGTCATACACAGCTGATCGCCACGCTGCGCACTCCGGGAGCCGCGCATGCACGGTTAGAATGGGAGGACGTCATATGATGTCCTGCCAGAACGAGAGAACCACCGTGCGTCCGTCATGTTACTACAGTATATGGCGGGCGGGAGGTGGTTAAGGTTCCTAAGCCTTGCAAAATTTAACAGCACTCCCAGGCCGGATCAGTCTCCAGCTGGCGAAAAACTTTGCTACTCTCCGCTCTCACCCTTATATTCCACTCTCAACCCTCTGCTGGCCACTTTCTTCCTGACCAGAAATTGGCTGGGACTGTATCCAGGGCCAGCCCAGACTCTTCCCTCTCCTGCTCACTATGTTTCCAGAAAGTTCTGGAAAGATAAGGGGAGACAGGCTAGTCTGCAGCTGTAGAACTCAGACTAGGCTAAACACAATTATATCTCCACTTCTGACAGCAGAGCCAAAAAACTAAATTTGCCTCACTTCTAGCACCTAAGCTAGGACGGTGCTACATTTGTTTTTCGATGGATAACTCCCATGTTGTTCGTGATTTAAAGACCTTGAAGCCCTAGACACACATTAAAAGACTCTAAAATTTGATACTTATGTAGCACCATCCCCTTAAGAGTCGCAAGAAGATTTGGGTCCCCCTATAGTCCTGCACAGCCAGGCATCACGCATTTCCACATAGATTAGCATCCAGAGTCAATAACCTCTGAGTTTTCCTTCCAGCTCCAGGCCTGCAGGTAGGCTCCATCCCACTTGGCCTCCTTGCAGCCTCCTGCTCTCAGCCTCACACTTTTCACCCGATTCTCCCTCAAACTTTCTTTCCAACTCTCCTGCAACGGAGCAGGCTCAACACTTTTAAGGATGTCCAGCCCCTTGCCAACCCCTTGTTGGGGAGGATCCCTAAAAAGTGCAGCCAGCTGCTCCTCCAATCCACCCACTGCCTCTAGGGCCCTACTCCAAAAGCCCCAGAGGGGCTGGTCTGCAGAGCCTCTCAGCCCTGACCACAATGTGACCCCTCTCTAGCTATTACACCTGGGCTGTTGCTCAGCCCCTGTCTAACTATTGGAGTCTAGCGCTCCTGAGGAGGGTGCTACACTTACATGAGCTCAGTTGCAGACAACAGCTAAGTAACCCTTTGATTGCTGACCCACTCACCCTTCTGTATCAGGACAATAGAAACAGGACAGGACCAAGAAAACCTGCCCCTTCTATTTTTCATACCATAGAAAGGCATTTTTTTTTAATCCCCAGAGATAATGAAAAAACAACAAAGCTAATAATTGTCAGCTTTAACAAACCAAAAGGGAACAAAAAAGAGAAGTTTGTATTTAGGGCTTAGGTACACTTTGACCTTCCTAACACAAAATTAACTGCTAAAGCGGACTCGTGAATCATATTTAATAACTGTAATTGTGTGTGTCTTTTAGGAAGCTGTTCAAAAAAGGGGAAAATAAAACACTTCAAGAAAAATATGCTGATTACCAAATAAATGGTGAAATAATCTGCAAAGATTGTGGACGGGTAAGTTCCTGTGAAAGGTGTTGTCTTAAAGTGGACCTTCACCCTAAAAACGCATTGTGGGGATTTAACTTAGGGTTTATACACATACAGGGTCAATTGACTTGGAGGCCAGAGTATATCCTGGTCAACCATAGCAAAATGTTCACCCAACACCACAACTTTAGAACACGCTTATGTGATTCTCTTCTGGTGGTTTTGAGTCCCAGCTCATATAGCTCACACAAACTCGACTTACAGTGACTGATGTTTCAGAAATTGTGGGCAGTGTGGTGATGTCCTGCATGAATGGTGGTCCTGTCCCTAATTGATGGTGCTCTGGTCTGGAGAATTAATAACTAACTGCATGTACTGCTCCAATGATTGATACTTACAGCTGCACTAAAAAAAAACCACCAAATACAAAAGTGTAAAGGAACTCAAATTACTAAATACTTTTGTGCTATGCCTTTAAATCTTAAACAAATATATGGGATAGGAGCACCATATAAATGTGCAGGGCCTATTAACTTCAAAAACAGTCATACATAATAGGTTTACCAAATAAATATTCTGAGCCTTATGACATCAAACCAATTATTAAAAATAATGTCAAGAAAGTGCCAAGTGTGGGCATTAACCACTAACCTACAGGGCACTTATACCCCCTTCCTGCCCAGGCCAATTTCTAGCTTTCAGCGCTGTCACACTTTGAATGACAATTGTGCGGTCAAACAACACTGTATCCATATGAAATTTTTATCATTTTTTGAGACAGATAGAGCTTTCTTTTGGTGGTATTTAATCACCTCTGGGTTTTTTATTTTTTCTTAAAGAAACCAAAAACCACTGAAAATTTTGAAAAAAAAATTTTTTTCTTAGTTTTTGTTATACAATTTTGTAAATAAGTGATTTTTCTCCTTCACTGATGTGTGCTAATGAGGTTGCAGTGATGGGCACTGATAGGCTGCACTGATGGACACTGATGATAGGTGGCACTGATGGGCACTGATACGGAGGCACTGGTAGGTTGCACTGATGGGCATTGACAGGCATCACTGATGGGCACTGAAAGGCAGCACTGATACATGACACTGATAGGCGGCACTGACTGGCACTGTTAGGCGGCACTAACTGGCACTGATAGGTGGCACTGACTGGCACTGATAGGCGGCACTGACTGGCACTGATGTGCACTGATAGGTGACACTGACTGGCACGGATAGGTGGCACTGATTGGCAGCACTGATAGGTGGCACTGATTGGCATTGATAGGTGGCACTGATGGGTGACATTGAAAGGCAGCTCAGATGGGCACTGATATGTGGCATTGATGTGCACTGGTATGCACTGATATGTGGCATTGATGTGGCACTGATGGGCACTGGCACATGGCACTAATGGGCACTGACAGGTGGCACTTCTGGGGCCACACTGATCATCAGGGCACACTGATCATCAGTGCCCTGATGATCAGTGTACATGTCCCCTCCGCGGATAGCCGATTGCCGGCTCTCCTCTCGAGCTGTCAGCGTGACAGCTCGAGAGGAGAGAAATGCCGATAATCGGCATTTTCGTGTTTACATGTGATCAGCTGTGATTGGACACAGCTGATCACATGACCGAGCCGACATCTTCGGCTCTTTCCGTGATCCGCTGTGTCCGGGGGACACAGCGCACCAGAGATCTCCGCGCTGCACGCTCCCTGAGCCGCGCATGCACAGTGAGAATGGTAGGACGTCATATGACGTCCTATCAAAATGAGAGAACCACCTTGCGCCCGTCATTGTACTATAGGGCGGGCGGAAGGTGGTTAAAGGGTGCAACCCCAAGTTTTAGAAGTGTAGTTTTACAGAAGTACGTCATTTCGGAAAAATTTCATTTTACAGATTTTAGAGAATGCGTGCATCCTGGATTTTAATTTGTCTGTTGAATTTCTGTTCCAATCATTAATCATGTGAATCTTTTGTTTTAGACGTGGGGAACCATGATGGTGCATAAAGGACTGGATCTACCTTGCCTTAAAATATGCAATTTTGTCATTAAGTACATGGACGAGAAAATGACCAAAGACACTCTGGAAATTTGGAGCGAGCTGCCCATTAGGTTTCCGGCATTTGAATACATGGCGTGTGTGATGATAGCGATGCTGATTAATAAGTGCAGTATATACACAAATATCAGACTTGCTTTCTCTACTGCTCAGTCTTGCTCATTTGGGGGGAGGTCACCCGGTGGAATCAGATCCTGTTTAAATCCTGTCCTTTTCAGCAGCTTTGACGAGGGGAAGAGATAATTGTAGGGCCATATTTGAAATAAGTCAAGTTCCAAGGGTGAAAGGGTTGAGGTTGAAGTTTAAAAAGGACAGTATTTAAAGCTTTTATTATCAGACTATTTTTTTGACCTTTGTGGGTAACAATTGGAATGAGAGATGGAAGTAATACAGAGGCTGCACAGAGGGGTCTCAAGACTCTCTGCTGCTTATGTAACATGCAAACAACACTTGCTTTTGATAAAGTCCAAGATAAAATCCATCCGGTGACTCTGTCATCCAAATAAAGTACATTTATTGGCTACATGGTACATACAAAATGAAGAAACTAACGCGTTTTGGCAGTCATGCCTTAATCATAGCATCATACCATAAATAAGGCCTGATGGGCAAAACGTGTTGGCCAATGGTGTATTTAGGTTTTTGCTGCCCTATGCAACACAAAAATTTGCACCCCTTCCCAACGGAGAGAGACTAACATTGACCAGCAACACCCCAGCTCCCCACTCGAGAGAGCCTTCCACTACCACTGCCCCCCATACACCAGCCACCTTCCCCCCATGGCGAGAGAGAGAAATACACTAACCTTCCTTCACAGCTCTGAACATCCCCGGGAATGAGGATTGGGCTGTGCATACACCATCATGAAACCCGCAGCCTCTCTCGGAACCCACCAGGTCCCCATCCCATGTGTGTCCCTTCTTCCATCTCTGCTTCCAAGTGGCAGTACTGCCCCCCTGAAAAATGCCACCCTAGGCAAATGCCTTGTTTGCCTTGTGGTAAATACACCCCTGGTGTTGGCATATTCAATTTGTATTGACCATGAAGCCAATAACATTTACTTTATTTGGATGACATTGAGATGCTGGCTGGATTTTATCTTGAACGTTGAAACTACTGAAGTGTGGAGACACTGCAGCCAGGTCACCGGTTCCCTTAGCTCCTAAGTGATTAATGGTCAAGCTGTGCTAATCTGTAATCATATGCTACAAAGTCCATCACAGCTGCACATAAAGTAGACAGCATGCTCCTTCCAACGACTCATCCTGGATTTTGCAATAGCAATCTTATCATATGGCTGGTGACACAGGGAATGGAGCCTGCATAGTAGGATACCACTCTTCATCTGTAACTAGCACTGCTCGATGATGTACGTCTAAATTTGTTTAACAGTCATGAAGACCTCAGCCTAGTTTAGCAAAGTTTTGATGTTGGTGGGCAGACTCCCCCTTGTTCCAGTATAGCCTATTCTTGTACAGCCTGAACACATTACACTAAAAATATTATCCTTTTAATTGTATGGCTGTATGCTAAAATTGTCCCAAAAGTGGAGGAAGCTGTTTTGTGGACTGAAGAAATATTCAGGTTCATGTGCGTCATCACACTTTGATAGGCTGATGGGTTCAGTTGCCTAAACAATATGCAGGTAAGAAGAAAGGTTGATCATGGTTGGTAGTTGAGCTTCTACAAAGATGTGAACTCATAGAAATATCCCCTTAGAGTGATTTACACCAGAGATCTAGCCCCCATGATAGGGACACTGTGCATTTTCTACAAGTACTATACTGGTACATTCAACAAGGGTAAAGTGCTGGCATAAGCAAGGCTCTTTACTGTATATAGCACACTATGGAGCTGTTATCGGACTCAGTGGTAAGAATTGTGAAAAGCCCTTTTCATCTGACCAAATAAACGGGTAAATAAAATGGCACATTTTTACACTTTCTTTACTTGTACTATTGAATAAGTCATGTTTATCTTATGGGTATTTTTTTTTTATTACAATGCATATATTTAAATGTGTTTTTCTATCTTCTTTAAAATTACTGTACTACTATTTTTATTATTATTATTTTGCATGTTGTCTGTGTTTTTTGCTAGCAATGAAAGAATCCTGTTCTCTTTGTATTACTTCCCTTGTGTGAAATGCTTGGTGATCCTGCCAGCCCCCCTGCTTTCCTATTTCAAACTGACCATACTAGGCAATGGAGCACAGCATGGTTTGTTTTCTGGCAGTGCTGAGAGCTCATCCTGCTCTCCTCTAAAGAATAGACTTGTGCTGACTCACCTCCCCCTCCACAGCCATTCACTGGGAAGATCAGTGTCCTGCTATCTCTCCTCCACCAACTCTCTAAGATCCTTATGCAGCTGAGAACAGAGGGTATGTGATCACTTATAAAAAAACATTATAAACACCTTTTTTTCCCCCTTTTATATATGTATACACAGATGTTTTGCCTTTAATTTATATTTTAAACTGAATGGGTTCCTTTACACGGTGAGGGTTTACTTATACTTTAAGTAGTAAACATATTTAAAAACATTTTACTCAGTTTTCAAAGGGCAGTTAATGTATATTGAAAGCATCCTAAAGTAAAGCACCTCCCACCCAATGTATGCAGGGGTTTAGGGGACACCACATATAACAATGGAACTATGAGATGAACTTACACAAAATGATCCACTTCTCACCACTGCAACAAACCTTGTGAACGAGCCCTTACAGTACAAATGTAATGCTAAGAAGAAAGATTTCTAAATACTCAAATCAAATGTGAACGCTAATTTAATTATGAATTTGACAGAAATGTAAAATGTGGATGATATATGTACCTGAAATGTGCAAATAAATTAGTGATTATTTCACTCTTTGAGCTATTGTGTTCTTTTTTCGGTGTGTGTGTATATATATATATATATATATATATATATATATATATATATATATATATGTGTGTGTGCGTTTGTGTGTATATATATATATATATATATATATATTTTGTATTTTTTTATCATTTTGGATGGAAACTTGGGTGACTTTGGACTGTGTGTTTTTCCTTACTGCAAGGAAGGCACTGTTCATTTTTTATGAGTCTACCCGAGAAGAGAATGAAAACGGAAGTATAAAATAAAATAATAAAATACATGGAGGTGTGCACTAGGAGGCAGAATGAGTAGTCTGGAGTTGGGCTCACCATGAAGAAAACATGGAGGCTGCCCAATCCTTTTTGAAAATGTTAGTTGGTTATCTGGTTCTCATGCCTACTTACTGGCTTTAGTACTTTCCAAGTCACTGATCCAGAAAAAGTATGTAAATTGGGAGTTTTGATTTACCTCTGATGTTCTTAACCACTTGCCGTCCAGAGGATTTACTTCCCTTCCTGACCAGACCAATTTTGGAGCATACGGCACTGAGTTACTTTAACTGACAATTGCGCAGTCATGCAACGCTGCACCCAAATTAAATTTATGTCCTTTTTTTCCCACAAATAGAGTTTTCTTTCTGTGGTATTTGATCACCTCTGCATTATAAACAAAAAAGGCCAATCATTTTGAAAAAAAAACTATAGTTTTGACTTTTTGCTATTTATAAACATGTCCAGTAAAAAAATTTAAAAAATCAAATTTTGTCATGAATTTAGGCCAAAATGTATTCTGCGACATGTCTTTGCCAAAAAAATCCCAATACGCGTAAATCAATTGGTTTACATGAAAGTTATAGTGTTTACAAATGGCGGGATATATACTGGGATATTTTTTATTTTTTCACTAGTAAAGGCAGCGATCAGCGACTTATAGCGGGACTGTGGCGGGCATTCTGACACTGGGGGGAACTGACTTGGTGTCACTGACATCCCCAGTGACACCAATACAGTGATCAGTGCTAATAAAAAGCACTGACACTGTACTAATGACACTGGGCAAAGGGTTAACTGTGTGCTGTTTTACTATGTGGGCTGTGTGTGCTTAAGCAGTGTGCAGGAGCTGATAGGGGAGAGATCTGTTTTGTTTACATACAGGTCTCTCCCCCATTGGTAATACTCAGAGATCATCGGGTTATCATCAGCCAGGACCCGGTAATTGGCAGCCGAGGCCGCGAATGTCGGCGCAGGTAGGGCGCATATGCCTCCTACCCGGAACTGCAAAATATATATATATGTGATTTTGCGCACCTGTGCTGCCATGTAGCAGTGTTTCTGCTATAGGGCAGCGTGGAAGTAGTTAAAGGGGTTGTAAACCTTACATATACCCAGTGAAGTGACTGGCCTCAAGTGGTCCACATAGATAAAACAAATCCTTCTACATACGCTGTACCTGTTTATCTGCAGCCCTCTATCCTCGATAGCTGTGCAATGCAGAATTTATACAGCTTGCCTGAGCTTTTAGAAAGCAGGGGGTGGGGAGCTGAAGTTACACACTGCAGAGCTCAATGAGAG